ATGCAGGGCTCAAATCCCGAGAGTTAATGACCTAAGCTGAAGTCGGACGTTTAACTGACTGAGCCACCCAGGTGCCCCAATCATAGACACTACTTGTACCTCTACCCTCTGTCTCCCCAGTATCTCAGGTGCTCCTGCTTCCAGAGCCTTTCTAAAGGCATAATGCTGCACTCAGTTTCTCACAGATTTAAAGAACCTCTAAGAATGGAATTTCAGGCAACTGCTTGGGACATTTTAGGAAACAGTCCCCCTGATAATACTGGACAAAGGTTGCTGCCTATTCACCAAGCCTGGGCTCATTGCCTGGTTACTGGGCTGGCAGAGCTGGGGTGGGGACTGAGGAAGTATTCCTGAACCCCTGCTTCTTACTTGGGCCTATTCTAGGCCTTCAGAGCTAAAAATGCCTGGGACAGATGGTCAGTGTTCATTTCACCTAGGATTGGGAGAAACTTCTCCCAAGCCTCAGAACATCTGGGAACCCCTAGGAGAAAGGGAGGAGTGGGCAAAAGGGGCACCTTTGTTCAGGAGCCTCCTAAAGCTCTAGGATCCTCAGGCCAGAGACTTCTGGCCTAAAGGACCCATGTCACAACCAGTCACCCCAGTTTTCATCTGCAGAGCCCCCAGGACAGAAAGCCCAGTGAGACTGTGTATGGAGTTTTAGCTTTCCTTATTTTTTCAGGGGTGAGGGCAGCTCCTTAAAAGGCGGAAAGGGTAAAAGACTGGTGATTCCTTAATGTTTACTTTCTGCCTAGCTGGTCTGCATTCCCCAGTTTTGGAGGCAGTGTAGAGAGTAAGATGGAGTCACTCAGGTCAGGCAAGGGGGCCTGTTTCAAGCAATGATGCAAGCAGCTAAGGGCACTGCAGCTATAAGCCCAATCACCTTGGGTCCTTTCACGCCTACATGGTATAGGACACAACTCAATTGCTCCAACCCCATTTCTACCTATCTTTCTACACATCATCCTACACATCTTTTTGCAAATTACTTAATATGACTGGCACATATAATGCTACCCTAATATCAAAATCTGAAGTCAACCTATACAACACAACAAAGGAAGTGATTATACCGGTATGTCCATTATAACAGATTCAATACATTTTTACTATCCTTTGATTAATAAAACCTGAATTACACAAGGAAAATCACCAGCATGGTGGGGAACATTGGGAATTGATTTCAATGCAAATTTAGCAACACATTTTGATCCAGGCATGCAACAATATTCCTTTTTATTGATCCAACCATCAGATGCGTGAGGTGTGGAACATACATGGTCAGCAAGGCACCCTATCTATGAGAATATAACCAGAACTGAGTCATCTACACCAGTTTACATAGCTAAAGGAGTCACCTTTGACACATGTGGTATATTACCCAATAGTCCAGGCCCATGTATTACTGAGAGAGGATGTTGGAATATTACACACTGTATGATAACTTTCCACTGGAAGCCACAATGGACACATGGCATTACCAACCCCACACCAAAACTCAAGCCAAGTGTGTTTGAACCTAATTACTTGACCCTATGAGAATTGTATACAAACCTATGCCACAGAGAATTGAAATAACCTTTCAAAAGGAACAATTCAATTTGTTTGATATACAACCTGAATGTAAAATTTATGCCACAGAACTAGGAACAACCATCCATGAATGGTCTGACCGACCACCCATTGATAGGATTAGACTTAGAAAGCCTACAATCCAGGGGTGCCTGGGTGGCTCAGTTGGCTAAGCATCTGGTTCTTAATATCAGCTGAGGTCATGATCTCATGGTTCATGAGATCCAGCCTTGCATTGGGCTCTTTGCTGACAGCACAGAGCCTGCTTGGAATTCTCTCTCTCCTCTCTTTCTGCCTCTCCCCCCACTCATGTGTGCATCTTCTCTCTCTCTCTCTCCCAAAACAAATAAATACTTAATTCAGTAGGAAATTTAGGTTCCAAGGTCTCCTCAGCACTCAGAGAATTATATTCCATTGTCTCAACTATGCATGATTGTCTCAACTATGCATGATTATCATGCCTACCAACTGGAATTTAACTATTAACATTGACCATAAAGTTCAGGCCCTCCAACGAAAGTTACTTAATCTTAGAAATTTCTACATAAGAGAACAATTAAAAAATAATTGTTGCATAACAATAACCTACTGTACAGAGCATGGAATGATATTAAAAACATTATTGTAAAGTATTTTTCTGACTGGGTGGAGCCTTTCTTACAATTAGACACCTCTAGACCATCAGGTTGTGACAATATAGGACAATGTAAACTTTCATTTTTAAGATGATTAGGGGGTCAAAGCTTATTAGCACATGACACATATTCTATACCACCAAAAATACATTATAACATAGCACTTCTGGCACCGCAAACATCCTTATGGATTGATGGATATTTACTACCCAAAGAGATAGTATTTCAGTGGTCTAATAGCATGTATTATACATGGCATGAACTGGAAATCAATGCTAATCTTTTTCCTTTAACAAGAACAGCCATTGAAAATTTACTTTTAGGGGCGCCTGGGTGGGTCAGTTGGTTAAATGTCTGACTTCGGCTCAGGTCATGATCTCACAGTTTGTGAGTTTGAGCCCCGCATTGGGCTCTGTGCTGACAGCTTAGAGCCTGGAGATTGCTTCGAATTCTGGGTCTCCTTCTCTCTCTCTCTGCTCCTCCCCAACTCATGCTCTGTCTCTCTCTCTCCTTCAAAAATAAATAAAAACATTAAAACAAAGAAAAAAAAAGAAAATTTACTTTTGGACATGGGACACTTTCATTGGATAATTTGTGCTAATAGCTTCTCAGAGGTCACATTCTTTAATCATATAGAATGAATGATACTATCTATCATCACCATAGACAATGAGTGTGTTAAAATATTGTATGCTATTAATGTAACATTTAGTAGCATTACCAAAATGGGTACCTTTGTCTCACAATATTCACATAAAAATTTTTTCAACATCTTATCCTACTAAAATAACAGAAATACCTTGGGTAAAAATGAACAAAATTGATAAATTTCTAGATGAAAAATTAGAAAGGCTCAAAGTAGCCCATAAAACCTCAACCAACAAGCTAACCCACTTTAATCATGCTGCACAGCCCACTCAGGTGGCCGCAGGAGTCATTAACCCCAACTTAGCTGCATTGAACAAAAATATACAAAACATATAATAAATGGTCCTTTCCAGAGTTGTTAACAAAACCCTTCAAACGTGATTTGTTTTGGCTCATGGCCTGACTATAACCCTTTAAAATACTTAAAGGGATTATCTCTCTATACATGTTTGGAAATCCATTAAGGAAATCTTCTCTTGCTTTTAGCTATTATTTTTGTTATATATCTTATTAAACATGCTATTAAAATGTTATGCACCCTCAGGCTTAAGAAGGAAAAATCACAAAAAGACTATGATTAACCATACCTTCACCATTCTTTTCTAGACGTGCCAAGAGCCTATGTTGAAGATTCCATGTATATTTTTTACTTTTATCTGCCCATAGTTGGCAATATGATTATTTCATGTATTTGACTGCATTGTTGATTTGTTAACTTACCTTCATTACATTTAGATTTAGTTTTTCTCCTCTCTTTTTGACTTGATTTAATTCTTATTAGATGTGACTTTAAGTTGGAGTTTTAAAATTTAATCCTTACTTAATTTTGCTTTATTTGATTCAGTTTAATGTATCTAATTTGCTTAGATTTGATGTGATCTTTGTTTTATGATATCAGTTGACATTTCATATGATTTCAGATTTATTTGATTTTGTTTGATTCTGATTGAAAACATGATTGAATGATTTGGATTTGCCCTCTTCCACATTAGCAAACTAGTACTGCTGACTTGGTTTAAGACTTGATTCCTGCATGACCCTTACAGATTTGTCATGAGAAATCACGGGGTGGAATGTAGAGAGCAAGATGGAGTTGCTCATGTTAAGCAGGGGCCTGTGTCAAACAGGTGACTGTTAAGCAATGATGCAAGCAGCTAAGGGCATTGCAGGTACGACCAGATATCTTGGAGACCAGCACCAGCTTTTGACACATTCAGGAGTTACAACCAACAGAAACAGAGGAGGTCACCAAAGGCCCAAGACTGATTAAATCCCGTTTAAAAAGGATTTTGGCAGCAAACTGTCAGACTTCTCAGACACTGACGTCTCTATGTCTGAACACTTCAAAAAGGCAGCTGAAGGCTTGCCTGACTGATCTCTGGAAAGAACACAGATGCTTCACTGCTTGAACACAATAAGCAATAAGTGCAAGAGCTGACCCAGGAGAGCTGACCCAGACCCGACTGAGGCCTTATCCCAACTGCTTGGTCAAAGATTGGTTCCTTAGCTTCCTCCCCGCGTTCTACATTGCTTGTTATGTGACCTGTCTTGTGCTTTGTCTGACATGTAAAATGTCAAGTTAAACACGTGGTGAAATGTCATTGAATTTGGAATCCTGAACCGGCTTTATAATTATGTTAACCTTGCTTTATGACTGAATAAAGCTGACATTGTGGAAAGACACAACTGGCGTGCGCATCTTCACAGCCAGCTCCAGACAGGCAGCTTCGTGTGTTCCCAGGCTTAAAGGTAGGGGGCAGCACTTGTCTCCAACGGACATGCGCATGCCCTAGGGCCTGGGAAATCCGGTTTCTCAGGCCCCTCAGGAGATACAGCATGCGCAGTCCAGGTCTTCTGCAGTGAAGGGGACTCTAGGAACGGAAAAGAATCTCTGGGGTCCTTTAAAGAAACAGCCACACACCTTTGAGCAACCTACATATATTTGGATTTTAGCCCCGCCCAAGCCAAGTCTCCTTGAAGCCCCGCCTCCTGAAAGCTCCTTCGCAACCTAAGTAGCTACGCCCGCGCCAAATGCAAGGAAGCCACACCTGTTAGAAATCACCCACTCCAGGAAGCGCCCCCCCCCCCCCGAGAGCCCCGCCCTACCCTTCCCCGCTGGCGCCCTACCCGTCCCCGCTGGCGCCCTACCCCTCCCAGCTGGCGCCCTGCCCCTCCCCGCTGGCCTTGGAGGTGGGTGAGCTCAGCAGGTGGGGTTGAGCACTCGGCAGGAGCAGGAGCTGCGGAAGAAGCGGCACTGGCAGGAGGCGCACGGGTCGCAGCAGGCGGGCGCCGGCGGCTTGCAGCTGTCACGAGTGGCCACGCAGGGGGCGGACGGAGGAGGCCGAGGCCGAGCAACATTCTTCATCGAAGCCTTTTTCTGTGGGGAAAAGCGGGGGCTGCTCAATCCGGCCACGTCCGCCCCACCCCTCTTCACCTCAGCCTTGGGAACTCTGGGCAGTGGAGGCCCCAGACCACACATATGTACCCACAGCCCACCATCCATTCGACAGCATGCCCACGGGGGACCCTAGCGGATCCCTGCCAACCCCAGTCACCTATCCCCTGCCTCCAAACCCAGTAACACTTACCTGGCTGCGCCTGGCCCACTTTTCTCCCTGGGGGTCCCACTCAGTTCTGGGTGTTCCTCCTTCCAGTGTATCCCCAATCTCTGTCCGTTCTGCCTTCCCACCTCGCTACCCTGAGCCAGGCCACTATCCTTAGTCTGCTGCTCTGGCCCACTTACAGTCCATCCTCCATTGCACCAAACGGACCTCTCCGAAGACCTGTGATGGTATCCACTCTGGCTTAAAGCCCTCAGTAGGTTTTCTTTGAACTTAGAATAAACCATAAACGTCACTTAGGACCTCGAGGCCCTCTGGTGTGGCCCCACCCACCTCTCCGAGCTGTTTTACCACACTGTTCCATTCGCCTTCCTTCCTTGCTCTCAAGCGCAGAGTTCCTGCTGCAGGGCTTTTGAACTGGCTACCCACTTTCCTGAAACCATTCTTTGTTGTGCCCTTCAGTACAGGTACTTGAAATGTATCTAGTGCAACTGAAGAACAGAAGTTTCAAATTTTATTTAATTTTAATGTTAATTTACATTTAAAAATAGAAGCAGCGTAAAATTTTTTTCTTTAAAAAATTGTTATTGTTGGGGCGCCTGGGTGGCGCAGTCGGTTAAGCGTCCGACTTCAGCCAGGTCACGATCTCGCGGTCCGCGAGTTCGAGCCCCGCATCAGGCTCTGGGCTGATGGCTCAGAGCCTGGAGCCTGTTTCCGATTCTGTGTCTCCCTCTCTCTCTGCCCCTCCCCCGTTCATGCTCTGTCTCTCTCTGTCCCAAAAATAAATAAACGTTGAAAAAAAAATTAAAAAAAATTGTTATTGTTAGGACTACAGCTGACTTTATTAAAAGTTACCATCGGAATTGAGATGTACTGTAAACGTAAAGATACACCACCAGGTTTCAGACTTAGCACACATAGAAAAATAATGTAAAATATCTAACTTTTTATATTGGTCACATATTAAAGTGATAATATTTTGGATACACTGGGTTAAATAAAATGTTAAACTTAATGACACGTGCTTCTTTTTCCTTTTTTTCAGTGTAACTACTAGGAAATTTAAATTCACATACGTGGTCTACAGTTTATTTCTATTAGGCATTGCTGCTTGAGGTTACTGAAGTTTTCAGTATTTAAGTGCTGCTTCCTTAGGGAGGGCTTCTGAGACCACTCTTCCCTTCACTCTCATTACCATGCTTTAATTCCTTTACAGTGTTTATCATTATCTGAATTTATTTTACCTGTTTACTGGTTTACTTGCTGTTTGTCTCTTTTCCCCACAAGAATGTAAACTACATGATAGCAGGGATATATGCCTCTTGTTCACTTCTGTATTCCCTGAACCTAGCATACAAAAATATCTGTGAACCATATATTCTTATATGTCAATCATCTGATCTGCTTGTCACTCAACAAAATGTCTAGAGAGGAGCAGGGACTTTCTCAAGGTCACACAGTGCCAGGTCTAAGACTGGAATAATGTGTGCATTTCAACAATGCCTTAATCCAGTATTTCCCAAAGGGTGGGAACCTGTACCATGGTAGTATGATTTTAGGTAGTACATGAGTATTAAATGACATTAAATCACATAATGAGAAAGGATTCCTTTTTCAATCTCTTTCAATTTTAAAGGCTCAGTTTGGTGCCAATATATCATTAATGCTTTCCCCACACTTTCTAATCTGACTCTTAACAATAAGCCTCAGATTTAGAGCATTTGGCAGGTGACCCCATCCAGCTAAATTCCACTAAAAATCTTTTGGTTTCATTAAACTTATTTTTATGGCAAGTGATATTGATTTTCTGTCATAGTTTTATATATATATATATATATATATATATATATATATATATATATATATAATAGATAGATAGATTTTTTCTTAAGTTTTAATTTTAAACAAATAGGTGAAACTCACATATGGCAAAAATTGTGGGGGGTTCCCGGCTGGCTCAGTTGGTAGAGCATGCATCTCTTGATCTCAGGATTATAAATTCAAGCCCCATGTTGAATGTAGAGATTATTTAAAAATAAATCTTTAAAATAAAATTGTGGGAAATAGTTCTGAAATAACAGAGGTCTAGGAAACATTGCATTCAGTCAAAAGAATGAATGATGGTGACATTTCAGTCAGGGGGCTAGCTACTATAAGACGATGCTTTTTAGCAGGTAAGCTATTTTGCTCAGTGAACCTTAGCTCTCTGGGCTTCTGTGGGGGTCTGGTTCAGGGCTTGAGGGCAGGAAGCCTTTAGATAGCTTTCAGCTTCTTTTGTTCATGAAAGTCTGGAAAGTCTTTCATTTAGTTCCTAGCTAGAATTCCCTTTTAAGTCTGGTCCCACCCCCATAATGAAAACTCCCAGTCCTACCTTGGAAGATCTCTTCTTTTCCGCCTCTTTTCTGCTGATCTTTTTGGATTTCTTGTTCAGTGCTTCAAAGAGAGACAGAAGGAGCAAAGCAGATGTTTCTGGAGGCCATGAGCTACAGTAAAGTGAGAGGAGTGGAGGGGGCTCCAGGAAATCTCAGGGTGTGGGAGAAGAGGGGTTGGCTGCATGAATCACAACTTGGGACTTAGGCCAGCAGATTCTTGTTAGCCTGGCTGCTGACCTGGAGCCAATGTCCTCTGAGGGAAGGCAAAAAGGAAATCCAAGAAGGCCCTGAAAAATGGACTCTCAGTGCCATGTATATGGATGGACCTGTGTTTCCTGGGACGCCTGGGTGGCTCAGTTGGTTAAGCGTCTGACTCTTAATTTTGGCTCAGGTCATGATCTCACAGTTCGTGGGTTCCAGCCTCATGTTGGGCTCCATGTTGACAGTACTGCTTGGGATTCTCTCTCTCCCTTTCTCTTTGCCCCTCTGCAGCTTGTGGGCATGCACTCTATCTCTCTCAAAAAAACCAAACCAAACCAAAACAAAAAAACCCCACAAAACCAAAAAAACCCCAGCTATTTCCGTAGGCAAACTACTTAACCTCCTTAAGACCCAGTTTTCTCACCTGCAAATAGGGTACTCTAGTATCTACCTTACAGGGTTGTCTTGAGGATAAACAAAGTATCTTTATAAAGTGAGAAGTTTGGCACATCAAAGGTGATTGATCAGTGATGTACCCCAGCCCCTTCCCTGCTCCTTCCCTGATACCGCTAGAATATTCTCTTTTCCTAGTGAGAGGCAAGGCAGTGAGGGATATTAGTTTTGAACTTGGGTTCTGGAATTAAACACCTGAGTTTGAATTCTGGCTCTGCTAGTTGAGAACTGTGTGATCTCATGTTAGTCACTTAACTTTGCTAAGCCTCAATTTCCTCAACTGTGAAACAGGAATTAAAATAGTACTCACTTCCCAGTGCCTAGCATACAAGGAGTATATCTGTTACTATTATTTTTATCAGATGAAATTGAACTAGAAGATGTTCAATGCCAGGCCCTAATGCCCCTGGTATTTTCCCCTGAGCAGTCATTCTCCATCTCAACACTGAAAGGACTAGTTCATACTACACTTGTTTATATTCTGCAGCATTTTCTAAAATTTCTATTGTTGATAGTTTTTTGATTCAGTTAGTTTCAGAAATGCCAAGTTAAACCAAATTCATGAAGTGTCTTGACTTCAGGGTTTCTCGGAGCATCTAACGTGCGAAGCTGCATATTAGACTGGTGGTATTCAGAGCTTTTCCAAACCATGTGAGCCAAGGAATACTTTGTTCCTCTAGGATTACTTTGAAGAATGAACACGAAAGAGCTCTGACCTATGTCCGTGAATCCTGGTATCAGCCCGGGGAGCACGTTTGACATCTTGCAGCCCCTTCTCATGGACCGGAGTCCAGAGACCAGGGGTCAAGCTGGGCTACTTACCTACAATAGAGACAGAAGGGAGATCCAACAGGTTCATGGAGGAGTTGCTCCTCAGGTTCCTGTCATCTCTGGGTTTTTCCTCAGGTGCCAGGTGACTGTAGGCAGTGAGGAGGCACAGGGAGACCAGCAGGGTGGCCAGGAGTAGGCGGAAGACATTCATCCTTGAAGGCCTGAGTGGGACAGAGAAGGCAGTCAGGTTGGTGGGTCAGGGGTTTTGGCAAGAGGATGTGCCCTTTTGCTTTCCTTGTATCTCTTTGGGCTGGTGCTCTGACCCCATTTGTAAGTGTCCCAGTGGAGCCAGAGGACCAGAAAGGCTTAGGACAGGAAAGGGGAACTGATGAAGGAACAAGAGAGAAAAGGAGAGATGGGGAGAGGAAGCGAGACAAGGAAAGGAGGGATATAGAAGCAAAGAGAAAAGGAATGCATTGCAGTTGGTCTCTGCCATTCTGAGGGTGGGGTGCTGGGTTTTATAGTCAGTGGTCCCAGGAGACCCTAGGCCTGGGCACAGTTGTTGAAAGGCCCCAATAGTACCTTGCAGTGGCAGAGATTTTACTATGGTGCAGAGAATGAGGCTCATAAGACTCTCTGAGAAAGATGCAGGGAATGATGGCATCTTCAGACAAGTGTATATGTTGTCACATGTGCTGTATTCCCATGCCCAGAGGGAATGAGTACAGGTGTGGTTTGTGTGAGAAGGATGGACCTGTTAACATAGGCTGACTGGATTTACTGACTTATTGCTAGCTGGATTGTGATGAAGCAGTTGGAGCCCAGAGTGGATTCCTTCCCATGAATGCCTTCATTTGGCTTAATCAGGGCTGAGAGCTTCGGAAGCATCTTCATCTTCTCTGAGTGTGGGATCTCCATGCCTTACCTGCTCTGTGCATTGTTCCCTCTGGTCTGGGAAAAAACTGAGGCTGCTTTTCCAAAGTTTTCTCTGCCCTGCCATAAACCATGGTGGGTGAGAGGAGAATAAAACAATCTGTTCATACTGGTCCTGCCCACTCCTGGGTTCCCTTACAGCAGCCTGGCAATTTCTACCCTACTCCTTCCAGCTCTCAGCTTAATAAACTGCAATTAATGAAATGCAATTTCTTAGAACCTAAATAATTTAGTGGAACTAAATTAAAACTAAGCTAAATGGAGTCTGGAAAGGGTGAAATCTCAGTGGAATTAATCTTATTTGTGTGTTGGGAGAGGGCTAAAAATGAGTGTTCCTCACACTAATCCTGGGGAGCAATATGTATATTCTAAATGTAATATAGGTCCATAATGTCTAGTTGTATCATGATCCTCAGGGTCAGACTTTTTTTTTTTAGAATTTTGTGGATTTTAGAAAACAAATATCATATATTAAACCACATACAGTGGGCCTGGGTACACCCATAATAAACAGTGATACTTTTGTAGCCAAAAAGGTGGGGATATTCATAATAAACAGGATAAACAAAGACAATGAATTAATTTGCATCAATTGAGGATAGGTTTTGTTGCCAAGATACATCAGGTAGGGTCAGATTTTTCTGCCAAAGAAAAAAGAAAACATCGTTTTCAGAGTTTGGGGATTTTACAATTTCAGGTAAAGGACTATAGACTTTACAAACTCTCATTGCTGTTACTACTCAATATGGGACACCCACTCCCTGCTATTAATACAGGATAATAATGCTGACAGCAATGACCACCTATGCAATTGTGTTCTCAAGAGTAATTTATCCTTCCACTCTGTAGTGGTAAAGGCTGTTCTTTGATCTGTGGTATCACTGATGACAATACCTTCTCTTAAACTTGTCATCTGCTTTAAGTTACTGCTTATGACTTAAGATGAGTTTTTACTCAGCATGGTGGATATAAAGAATCCAGAAAGGGGAGTCAGGTCACCTGGATGTACCTGCTACATAAGTGGCTGTGTGACCCTGGGCCCATCTGGGCCTCTGCTTTCTCATCTGTAAAAAGAGAGGATAGGGGGGCACGTGGGTGGCTCAGTAGGTTGAGCAACTGACTCTTGTTTTTGGCTCAGGTCATGATATCGTGGTTTCGTGGGTTTGAGCCCATGTCAGGCATTGTGCTGGTGGTACAGAGCCTCTCTCCCTCTCTCTCTGCCCCTCCCCTACTTATGCTGTCTCTGTCTCTCTCAAAATAAATAAATAAACTTAATTTTTTTTTTTTAAAAAGAGAGGATAGGACTACATGACTTAATATATGTTATGAGGCACAGAGTAGAAACTTAATAAAGATTTGTTTAATGAATGAATCTTAAGACCTTTCTATTCTAAAATTCTACAAATCAGTGAGTTCTGATTTTTGCTTCCTGGGCGTTGGGGCAGATTAAACAGTTGCATAAAGATTTTGCAAAGGTCGGGGCGCCTGGGTGGCTCAGTCAGTTAAGCGTCCGACTTCAGCTCAGGTCATCATCTCGCGGTCCGTGAGTTCGAGCCCCGCATCAGGCTCTGGGCTGATGGCTCAGAGCCTGGAGCCTGCTTCCGATTCTGTGTCTCTCTCTCTCTCTGCCCCTCCCCCGTTCATGCTCTGTCTCTCTCTGTCTCAAAAATAAATAAACGTTAAAAAAAATTAAAAAAAAGATTTTGCAAAGGTCACTTGTGTATCCTTAAGAGTCAAGGGATTTGTAAATGCATTAATGTGACTGAATCTGATTAAACTCTGGAAAAGAGGGCACGGAAAGTCATGGCTAAATGCAATTGGCTGTGTACCTCAGGAGTCTTGATATGTGTGTGTGCATGTATGTGTGCATGTGTGTATGTATGTGTGTTGAGCATGCACACTATAAGGGCTCTGACTGAGGGAATATGGGAGGTAATAGTATCCAGATCATCTCTGAGTATGGCAAAATGAGTAGACAGTATATCAGTATAGAGTGCATACTCAGTGTGCTCTGTAGAAATCCCCTTAGCTATGGCACTGGGTATAGTGTGATATCTTAATCCTCTAGGGTCAAGGCCTTAGTCCCCAAAGCAAAGGAAAGGATTATAATTTCCCAATAATGAGGAGGGGCTAACGACCTATTGGGACAGAGATATAGTGAGAGATAAGAACTGAGGAAGAGGTAAAGGCAGCAGAGTCTTCTTGAAAAGAGTGACCAATATTAGTTGCTGACTATACTAGATGTTAATGAGGTGCAGCCTTGACAGCCTGCCCTGGGTTTTGCTCATGGCATCAGTGAGGGGAGCCAGGGTATCTGGGAAGCCAGCAAGTTGGCATTGCAGGGAAGGTGACTGGGCTCTGTTTGTTGTAATAGTGGCTTCTACCAGTCCTGCCAAGCACCAATGGCAAAGGGTACGGGAGTCTGGGTTAAGCTCATCCCTGTGGAGGAAAAAAGTAGTGTTTGGTAGGGCTTAACATGGATGGGCATCTCATATAGGCTAGGGGTGTTGGAGGGAGACTCTCTGCTGATCAGTCTTTTGGAATGAAACACATACTTGGGAAGAAAGGGAAATTAAAGCAGGAGGGAATCTTAACTTTGAAATTGTCTGCAAAACTTTGCCCATATGTGCATTTTTCTGGGAGAGAAGGTCCATAGCTTTCTCTGGATCCATAAGGGGGTCTTAGGCACCTAAAGAGCTCACAACCCCTTCTTTGCAACCTGAGTGGGGCTTATCCAGAATCACAGGTACATGAGAGCAGAAGACAGTTTTTTTTTTTTTCTGTTCACGCAATAATTGAGTTCTATAATTGGGAAAATGTACTTGTGGGAAGGGGCATATCATCCCAGACTAGTGCTGGTATAAAATAAATAAATATAATAATGAAGCAAACTAAAGAATATAAACACCATGGTCCCATTTGTGAACAAATATCAAAACTCCCTCAAAAGTAAATATGCTTACATATGCAAAGAAAAAAGCGTGGGAGGAGACACATTAAAATTTTAATAATGATTACTTCTTAGGAGTGGAGTTAAGGATGGGGAGTGAGGTAGAGAAATGCACTTCTTCATGTACTTCTGTATTTGAATTTCCTTTTCAAGAATGTTATTACATTGTAATAAAAAATAAAGGATGGGGCGCCTGGGTGGCGCAGTCCGTTAAGCGTCCGACTTCAGCCAGGTCACGATCTCGCGGTCCGGGAGTTCGAGCCCCGCGTCGGGCTCTGGGCTGATGGCTCAGAGCCTGGAGCCGGTTTCCGATTCTGTGTCTCCCTCTCTCTCTGCCCCTCCCCCGTTCATGCTCTGTCTCTCTCTGTCCCAAAAATAAATAAATGTTGAAAAAAAAAAAATAAAGGATGATAGAAATAAAATATTGAATGCTACTTGACATAGCATCAAAGAATTTAAAGATGATGGATGGAGAGTTATATTTGATTTGTGACAGTGAGGCTATGGAATTTGCAGGACACTCTTCCCTCTTTGTACCTCAAATTCAAGGTACAGTTTGCTCTCAGCACCTACTGCTCTGTCACCAAAATATAGGGCTTTCTCATAGTGTATCATCCTTTTACCCTTCTCTGCCCTGTGACACTTTCGAAGCCTTCTACCCTTCTGGTTCATCAGCTACTGTTTCTGATATGACAAAACCTGAGAGAGGAACACACCATTTTTGTGGTGTTATTGTTTCTCAGCCAAATTAGCTATACCAAACACCGAAGCTCAGAGCCAGAGAAAAATTATCACTCATTCATAGTTACCTAAATTCCCTACACCAGATGTTCAGTGGCTGCATAGGGATCCTACCACCCTACACATCTTTGACTCATTTGAGCAGCAGGTGATACATATCTACGACAGGTGCCCTGGCTGTGCTGAGCTTAGGAGGCTCCATTAGGGCTATTGGCTAATTCCTTAATGTTCACTAGGGCTTATCAGTGATGATAATTTCTGGGGTAAAATGAGGGTGTCAATATGTTTTATCTACCTAGTTTTGTTCCAGGATAGCCAGCCAATCAAGCAACAAATATTTTTTGAATTCCATGGGAAGTTAGTGTTACTGGATTAGGCAAACTTCTGAGAAGGGGAAGAGAAGGAGAATCAACGAAAGAAGGGTCCAGAGAACTTTGGGACATGGTGTCAGGAGAGCAGATTTTGCTGTGGGTAGGGATGGGACACCAAAAGGGAAGAAGGGACTGATGGAAAGGGCCTGGAGACGCCTTGGTCATAAATTTGGCTCACTTCTCAAGACTTCCTCCTTATGAATGGTCCTGAAGAAAGGCACTTGAG